CACCGAAGAGCCGCGCAAGAGCATCCTGACGACCCCTCACGAGCTCCGTAACGACAGGGGCCTCAGAAGGGGGCACCTTACTAACAGAACATGGAACATCGAATTTAACAGCTTACTGTTTCGGCCTCCGAATCCTCGCGCCCTCCAGAGCGCGGCCATCCCATCTGTATCGATCGAAAAATCATCGCGGCCCGGCACCGAAACCCCAAATTCGAAGCAACTGGATGCAAACGGTGAGTCGTGAACCTGGTCACCGCCGGAAGCCTCGTAGAGTTCCTCGCGCGCGTTGTATTTCCGGTGGCCACAGGTCTTCGCTCCACCGATTGCCTCTGGCAAGGTGCCGCATAGCGCCCCTTCGCCCATTTGGGGACACCCCTCGCCTCAAACATTCTGTGGCCCCGCGGGTCGCTGGCTCGTCTCATTGCCGTCAGCAACAGAAGTTCTTGTCACTCGAAACATAGTAAGGCGCTGGGGAATATGAACTTTTCGCTTCACGCGGCTAAGCATACAGCGTTTGCACATGTTGTGTGACTTCAAGGACTTGACGACGAGCTCAATGGAAATCGCGGAGGAGTCCTCTAGGAGCCCTCTTGGGGCAGTCTTGAGACCCTCTTGGGGCGTCTTGGAGCCTTCTCGGCCCGCCTTTGGCCCTTTCGGGGCCGTTTGGGGGCCCTCCTAGGGGGCAGCTGCACCCCCTAGGGGCCTTTGGGAAGCGTCTTGGGGCTTGGCTGGCGGGGTCGGCGTCTGTGCTGCCGCTCCTGGGGCTCGCCTGGGGGCGTCTTGGGCCCTTTCGTGGGGCCTCTTGGGCCGTGGAGGGGTCCTCTGGGGCCGTTTTGGGGCTCTCTTCGGGGTCACTGGGGCCGTTTGGGCGCCGTATGTGGGCATCTTGAGCCGTTGGGAGCTCAGAAAAGCGAGAATGCCGATATCTTGTAATCTTTCTGAGGCCTTCGTCAGCGCCTCCTGGCTCGTCGGAAGCTCTTGGAAGCCTTTTTGGTGCATCGAGTGCCTCTTCGGGCGTCATGGGAGCCTCTTGTGATCTCTTGGGGCTGCTTGGGCGGCCTTTGGAGGGTATCTTGGCGGTCTCGTGGGGGTCATGCGTCAGCCCCTGAAGGGTACCAGAGGCAAAAAAGCGGAATGGCAAAAGTCGTAGATTTCCTTCTCAGGTGCTTGGAAATCCTTGGCGCTCTCGTCGGCAGTCTTGGGAACCTCTGGGAGGTCTCTTGGCGTTCACTTGGGGGCTGGTGCGGGCCGTCTGGAGGCTCTCGTGGGCTGTCTTGGAGCTCTCTTGCCTGTGTCGGAAGCGCCCCGAGGCATCTTGAAACCCTTCTGGAAACCCAGGAGGGAAGTACCGGAGGTCTGACGCAGATGCCTGGGTGCGGTTGGAGTTTTTCTTGGGCGGCCTTGATGGATGTCTGGCACCTCTCGGGAGCGGTTTCGGGTCCCCGTTGAGGGTGTGTTGGAGCGTCACGGGGCCTCTTGCGCGCTTTGTGGGGGCGTCGAGGGGCCGCTTTGGGGCGATCGAGGGGCCTCAGCAGGCCATCGGAGGCGCAAAGGCAACAGTGCAAAAATCACTGGGTCCCTGTGCGTGTGTGTAAATACTTTTGGCTTGTCGGTGATCTCTTAGAGAGCTTCCTGGGGCCCCCTGGGGCTGTCTTGAGCGTGGCATCCTGGGGCTTCTTGGGGCCTCTTGGTCGAATTGTCAAAGCGTTGGGCCGCCTGGAGACCCCCTCTTTGAGCGTCTTGAAGCTATCTGGCGCTGTCTTAGGTTCTAGCGACGTGTCGGCTGACGTGCTTGGCACGAACGTAAAGAACAGACGTGTGGCAACATCCACGGCTTGGACCGAAGCACTTGAGCCAAAATGGCTATAAAAGGAATTGTCTTGGGGTGTCTTGGGGGGTTCACGGCTCTTCTTGAGGCATCGCGGGGGGCCTCTTGGGGACCGTTGTTGGGCCTTTGGGGGGCTGTTTGCGGGCCTCCTGGGGCGTTGTGGGGGCCTTTTTGGACCCTTGTAAGCCTTGTGGGAGCCTCTCGGGGTCCTTTGGGAGCCTCCTGGGGGCCTCCTGGGGCGAAGACTCGGACTTTCGGTTCATGTTCCCCCTCTTGAGCTTTTCTCGGGGCCGTCTTTGGGCCCACTTGGGCCGTCGTGAGCGCACCTGGGCCCTGTTGGGCCGTCCTGGGGCTCTCTTGGGGGCCTCTTGGCCCGTTTTGGGGCGGTCTTGTGGCCCTCTTGGGCCGTCTGCGATTGTCGGAAACTCAAACAAAAAGAACCCCTAAACATTTTAAAGCCCGAAGGACGTTAACGATTTGCGGCTCTCGGGGCGCTCGTCTGGGGCCTCGGGCGCCCACTGAAGCCTGCCGGAGGCCGTTTTGGCGCAGCCGTTTACTAAGCATTTTCGGCGCCCTCGGGGTGTGATGGACCGGTTCGGTAAACTATTGTACAATTTTTGTTGGTGATCTGTGCGCCCACGGGGCCACTATGGAGGCCACGAATGTGCTCGTGGGGCCCCCAGACCTCACATGCCACGCCGGGGGCGTGGTTCCTGGCCCGCCCTTGGCCTACTCCGAGATCGATATGGCTGGAAAAATGCCGCGGAAAAGTGTGGTCTCGGGCTCCGGTCGTGATTTGTGCGCTGCCGGAACTTGTTCGCAACGTCGTATCCCATGCCATGGTACTTGGGTCACCGTGGGGCTTGCGAAGTGGATACAGGGGCCACTGATGGATGCGACGGTTGGGTACGTCTGGCCTGACAGAGCGGGCGGGGGAGGTGTAGAGTGACGATGGTGTCCGGTTGCGATTGGCTCAAGATGGTGTCTGAAGATGATTTTGCACGCTCGGTCTCCCAATGCCCGATCACGCAGATATCCACCGGCTCCCGATGTTGGGGTTGGTTCGGGGCCTCGCTGTGCGCGCGGGAGCGCGTTGCCTTGCTTCCTCTTCCTTGTGTTCCCGTCTTCTCGTCTTAAGCGGTCGTTCAGCTGTCGGGCATCTGCAGAGGGCGCGCGCAAATGTCTCAATTATCAGTGCCCTTTTCTGAAGCCAGTTGTTGTCGAATCCGTCCACAGGAGTGGGGAAGCTTCTTTGTGCTGGATGCCAAACCGCATGCCGGCGACAATCGCACCCGTGGGATCAGAAGGTTCGAGCTCGCGGGGGATGCTCAATGATATGCCTGGCAAAACCATGTATGGGGCTGCCTGGAGCTTTGACGGGGCCTCTGGCGGAACCTTCTTGGCGCTCTGGCGAAGCCTTTCAGGAGGTGAGGGAGGGGCACGAAACTTAAGAAATTGTAAACCATAGTTGGCCACACCCCACTCGCTCGGGCGGGTCCGCCCTGCAAGTGTGGGGGGAACAAGAATCGCGCGAATGAGTATGGTGTAAGGATGCCCTGCTGTCTCTGAGGGCTTGCCCAGGAGGGGACGGAGGAGCACGAAACTTGAGAACACTTATGGTATAGCCACACCCCGTGCTCTCTGACGGGGCTACCTCGAGTGCGGTCGGAGGACAAGAGAGAGCAGGGACTGTATATGGTCTAGCAACACCACTCTCGCTCTGCAGGGGCCGCCCTTGAGGGGTGGGAGGGGCAAAGCAACTTGTGAAATGATGGGGTATACCGATGCCCCGCTCGCTGTGGCGGGGCCTGTCTAGCGCTCTGGCGGGGCCGTCCCAGGAGAGCAGGGAGGAGCACGAAAGCTGAGGGGTGAGGGGAGGAAGAGGAGAGAGAGGAGGGAATGGAGGCAAGGGGAGGGGGCGGGAGGGAAGGAGGGACGCAGAGGGGGAAGGCCAGGGCCATCTGGGCCGTCTTCAAGCGCCCTGGGGCCTCCCGCTACCGCTCTGTGGCCCAGCTTGGGCCTGTCCTGGGGCGTCTTAGGCCGTCTGGGGCTCCTCCTGGGCAATTTTCGGCCTCTCTGGGGCCTCCCTTGAGGGCTTCGCCCCAACTCAACTTACTGTACATCACTCGTACCTCGCTCTTTCCGTCACCCGGGGCCGGCACGGAAACGGAAAGAGCGCTTCAGCAACCTGCCCGTGATGGCTCATAGCACCCTTCGCTCTTGGGAGCCTCGCCGTTAAGAACTAGTCACGTCACCGCTCTCTGTTGGGAGCCCTGGTGTTCAGAGAATTTTACGTTGCCGCCCGTTCTTGGGCCTTGGTGTCAAGAGCTTATTGCGTCACCGCTCGTTCTTGGGAGCCTTGCTGGTAAGCGCGTGTTACGTCGCCGCTCTCTGTTGGAAGCCTTGCTGGGAAGAGCTTGTTGCGGCACCGCTCTCTGTTCAGAGTCCGCGTGCCCAGTGATGCTTGCGTTGCCGCTCGCTCTTGGGAGCCTTGGTGGTGAGAGCTTGTTGCGTCACCGCTCGCTCTTGGGAGCCTTGCTGGTGGGCGCGTGCGACGTCACCGCTCTCAGTTGGGAGCCTTGCTCCTCCTCCCCTTTTTCATTGTATTGTTATCCTCCTCCTCCTCCTTCTCTGCCTCCTCCTCCTTCTCCCTCTTTCTCCTCCTCCTCCAACTCCTCCTGACACCTCCTCATTTTCTTCCTTCTCCTCTTCCTCCTCCTCCTCCTCCTCCTCCTCCTCCTCGTCCTCTTCCTCCTCCTCCTCCTCCTCCCTCGTCCTCGTCCTTTTCCTCCACCTCCTTCTCTTCTTTCTCCTCCTCCTTCTCCTCTCCCCTCCTCCTCCTCCTCCTCCTCCTCCTCTTTTTCCTCCTCCTCCTCCTCCTTTCCCTGCTCCTCCTCCTCCTCCTCGTCCACCTCCTCGTCCTGGGTCAGTGCAACCCTGGCCCTGCAGGATCCTACAAGATCCGGCGCTCTGACTGAACCCCGCTTGCATTGAGGAGGAGGAGGAAGAGGAGGAGGAGCAGGAGGAGGTGGAGGTGGAGGAGGAGGAGGAGGGGGAGAAGGAGGAAGAGAAGAGGAGGTGGAGGTGGAGGTTTGCATTGACCCCCAGCTCTTGAGCCCCGATGGTGTCGCGTTAAAAAAGACCCCCCGGGGGTCGGCGCCGCGGCAAGGGCCTCCACCGCCGCGCCGCACTCCTGGAGCATGGCCCGGTTCTGCTCCTCTCGGGTGTTCGTGAACTCGCCCTCGCTCGGCCGTCCATTCCCCGTGAATGTTCAGTTTCGTGCGGATTTGTCCCCAACTATCCTGTATTGAGTTGGGTGCTCGTTTTCAATCAGCAGCGCCCCGCGTCCTCCTCCTCCTCCTCCTCCTCCTCCTCCTCCTCCTCCTCCTCATCATCATCATCATCATCATCATCATCATCATCATCATCATCATCATCATCAGCATCATCATCATCATCATCATCATCATCATCATCATCATCATCATCATCATCATCATCAGCAGCATCAGCATCAGCATCATCATCACCACCAGCATCCTCATCATCATCATACTCATCAACATCAGCATCGTCATTATCGTCAGCATCATCATCATCATCATCATCATCATCATCAGCATCATTATCAACAACAGCATCCTCATCATCATCAGCATGATCATCATCACCAGCATGATCATCATCACCAGCATCATCATCATCATTATCATCATCATCATCATCATCATCACCAACATCATCATCATCAGCATCATCATCAGCATCAGCATCAGCATCAGCATCATCATCATCATCATCATCATCATCATCATCATCATCATCATCATCATCATCCCCATCCCCATCCCAATCCCCATTCCTCCTCCTCTCCCCTTTCCTTCCATCCCTGCCCATGCCCGCCACATGTAAATCATTCGGCACATCCCTCACACACTTCGTGGCCCCATAGGAAACTCCACCGAAGGCCCCAGTGGCAGCGCCCGCATGGCACCGCCGCACCCGTTTCGGCACACCCCTCACACGTTGCGTGGTCCCACAGGGAGCTATACCGAAGGCCGTCCCAATAGCAGCGCCCGCATGGCATCGCAACACCCGTGTCGGCACACCCCTCACACGTTTCGTGAACCCGTGGGGAGCTCCACCGACGGCCCCAGGGGCAGCGCGCATGGCACCGACGCACTCGTTTCGGAACACCCCTCGAACGTTTCGCTGCCCCACAGGGAGCTACACCTGCAGCCCCAGTAGCAGCGCCCGCATGGCACCGCCGCGCCCATTTCGACACACCCCTCACGCGTTTCGTGGCCAATAGGGAGCTCCACCGACGGCCCCAGTGACAGCGCCCGCATGGCACCACCACGCCAATTCCGGCACGCGCCTCTCACGATTTGTGGCTCCGTAGGACGCGCAGAAAAGCTCCAGTGGCAGCGCCCGCATGGCTCCGCCGCACCCGTCCCGGCACAGCCCCCACACGCGCGTTGCTGCACCATAAAGAGCTGCACCGAAGACGATACTCGCAACCGCGGCACTCACCAACGCATCTGTGTGTGGGGGGCCTTCGCCAGGATATGTCTTCGCAAGCTGTTCCTCGATGGTCCTCGCCGAGAAAGAAGGGCACACGTCCGAGCGATGTCAAGATGACGGGGGGGCAATAAACGCGGAGCGAAGATCGGCGGCGAGCCAAGAAGTGATTAGCGCCGAGTTGGCGTCGATTAGCGTCGACTCGCGTCGATTTAGCGTCGACGAGCGTCGATTCGCAAGGCTCCCATGAGTTGCCACCGAAGGGGGGGGGGCAGCGAGAGGGGGCTGGCCTTCTCAGACGGCGGCGGGTGTTCTCAGCAGCCCTCGCACCTTCTGGGAAGCCGTCCGTGTCCTCGGCGAAGGCGTGAACCAAGTCTCAGAAGACGTGAGTGCTCATGAGAAGCCCCCGCCGCATTCTGAGAAGGCTGCCCCTCTCTGACTTCCCCCCCCCGGGCGCGACGCCGAGAAGAAGCGTGCACCTTTCCGAAACAAAGTTTTTCGTGTCTGGCGCTGGCTTCTCGAAGTGGAACGGAGCAGTAAGGCAGTGCCTTCCTTGCTCCTCCTCCTCCTCCTCCTGCTCCTCCTCCTCGGAGCCTTCCTTGCTCCTGCGCGCGCACTGGCAGGAGAGAGGGCCATAGCCATCTTAACTCGGGCCAGGAGGCGACGTGGTCGCCGAGAACTCACCCAACGCGCCTGAAATCAGCCTGGCGGAGGACCTAACCATATGCAGTTGTGGGCACCGTCGTTTTATGCACCGCACCCGCTGGAGCTCCCCATGGGCCCACGAAACGTGTGAGGGGTGAGCCAGAATGGGCGCGGTGGTCGCATGCGAGCGTTGGCATCTGGGCCTTCGGTGGAGCTCCCCATGGGGCCACGAAACGTGTGAGGGGTGTACCGACATGGGTGCGGTGGCCGCATGCGAGTGCTGGCATCTGGGCCTTCGGTGGAGCTCCCCATCCGGCCACGAAACGTGAGGGGTGTGCCGGCATGGGTGCGGTGGCCGCATGCTAGCAATGGCATCTGGGCCTTCGGTGGAGCTCCCTACGGGGGCGCGAAACGTGTGAGGGGTGTGCCAAACTGAGTGCGGCGGCCGCATGCGAGCGCTGACATCTAGGCCTCCGATAGGGCTCCCTGTGTGGCCTTGAAACGTGTGATGTGCGCCAAACTGGGCGCGGTGGGCGGATGCGAACGCTGGCATCTGGACCTTCGGCGGAGCTCCCCATGGGGCGCGAAACGCGTGAAGGGTGGGCCAAAGTAAGGAGGGTGATGGCAGGAGGGAGGAGGAGGGAGGAGGGAGAGGAGGAGAGAGGAGAGGAGAGGAGAGGAGAGGGAGAGGGAGAGGGAGAGGGAGAGGAGAGGAGAGGAAAGGAGGACGCGGGGCGCTGTCTCTTCAGAACGCAGACCCAACACCACAGGATGGTTTGGAAAAAAATCAGCTACAATGGAGGTCGGTCCACAAGAAATCTTCCGCAAGAAACCCAACCCTGAGACCCAGGGCGTCCCTTGATTCTTGGTGTTGGAACGTCGCGCTTTCCACAGCAGAGCCATCGAAACCCAAGGAACCCAGAGCACCCTGGAGACAAGCAGGGTGTTTCTTGGCATGGGCCCCCACTGCATCCCGATCCCAGGCTCGAGGTCGTCATCTGCTGCATGGCGCACCATTTGAAAGCCCGCGGCGGCAGTTCGGGGCCACGCTGCTGCACTCGTCAGCCCCCGCTCCTCTTCCTCCACCTCCTCCTCTTCCTCTTCTTCTTCTTCTTCTTCGTCTTCTTCTTCTTCTTCCTCCTTCTCCTCCTCCTCTTCCTCCTGATCCTCCTCCTCGTTTTCTTCTTCGTCCCCTTCCTCCTCCTCCTCCTCCTCCTCCTCCTCCTCCTCCTCCTCCTCCTCCTCCTCCTCCTCCTCCCCCTCCTCCTCTCCTCCCCCTCCTCCTCCGCCGCCTCCTCCTCCTCCTCTCCTCCTCCTCCTCCTCCTCCTCCTCCTCCCCCGCCTCCGCCTCCGCCTCCGCCTCCGCCTCCGCCTCCGCCCTCACCCTCCTCCTCCTCCTCCTGCTCCTGCTCCTGCTCCTCTCCTCCTCCTCCTCCTCCTCCCTCCTCCTCCTCCTCCTCCTCCTCCTCCTCCTCCTCCTCCTCCTCCTCCCCCTCCTTCTCCTCCTCCGCCTCCTCCCTCCTCCTCCTCCTCCTCCTCTCCGCTCCTCCTCCTCCTCCTCCTCCTCCTCTCTCCTCCTCCTCTCTCCTCCTCATCCTCCTCCTCCTCCTCTCCTCTTCCTCCGCCTCCTCCTCCTCTCCCTCCTCCTCCTCCTCCTCCTCTGCTCCCTCCTCCTCCTCCTCCTCCTCCTCCTCCTCCTCCTCTCCTCCTCCTCCTCTTTTTATTATTGGTATTAGAAGTATTATCATTAGCATCATGATTATCAGTATTATCAGTATTATCAGTATTATCATTATTATCATTATTATTATTATTATTAGTATTACTATTGTTTTTATTATTATTATTAATAGTGTTATCATCATTATTAGTATTACTATTATTATTAGTGATATTATTAGTGTTGTTATTATTAATAATGATAACATTATTATTCGTATTGCTATTAGTGTTATTATTAATAGTGTTGTTATCATTATCATTATTATTAATACTACTATTATTGCTATTATTATTACTATTATTAGTATTACTATTATTACTATTATTATTAATACTACGATTATTATTATTACTATGATTACCATTACTACTATTATTATTGTTAGTAATAGTAGTAGTATTATCCATACTATTATTATTCGTATTACTAGTATTAGTATTCGTAGTATTATTAGTCGTACTACTACTACTACTACTACTACTACTACTACTACTACTACTACTACTACTACTACTACTACTACTACTACTACTACTACTACTACTACTACTACTACTACTACTACTACTACTACTACTACTACTACTACTACTACTACTACTACTACTACTACTACTACTACTACTACTACTACTACTACTACTACTACTACTACTACTACTACTACTACTACTACTACTACTACTACTACTACTACTACTACTACTGCTGCGACTACTACTACTACTACTACTACTACTACTACTGCTGCTACTACTACTACTACTACTACTAATATCATTAGTGTGTTTCTTCGATATCTTATTCGTCTTATTAGTATTCGTCTTATGCTTATTATTACTCTAATTATTAGTTGTGTTAGTCTTCTCATGGTTCTTATTCGTATTCTTATTATGCTCATTATTATTCGCATTAATGGTTTTATTATTTCTATTAGTACGAGTAGAAATTATTACTACAATTCTTACTCATATTTTTCTTAGTATTAGTACCAATAGGTTTTTTCATGTTATTATTATTATTCCTCCTCCTCCTCCTCCTCTTCCTCCTCCTGCTCCTCCTCCTCCTCCTTCTCCTCCTCCTCGTCGTCCTCCTCCTCATTCTCCTCCTCCTCCGCCTCCTCCTCCTCCTCCTGCTCCTGCTCCTCCTCCTCCTCCTCCTCCTCCTCCTCCTCCTCCTCCTCCTCCTCCTCCTCCTCCTCCTACCCCCCCCCGCCGCGCGGGCTGCGAGCTTGCAGTTCTCTTGGCGCGCGCGGGGGTCTCCGGCGATATCGCGCTTGTCCCTGTTCTGGGAGTAGCCGTGCTGCTCGAACTTAGAGTCCAGCGCGG